TGGTGGGCCCCCCGCCGGAAAATTGCATCCTGGCGGGACCGACGAACCCATAGGCGTAAACACTCATGACGTTCGCAGCGACCCCGCGGGCAGTCTTCTCGCCGGGGCCCACTGTCTTCTTGGAGGACTCGCCGCCGAGCATGTTAGCTTGTGTTCGAGCAAAGACAGCAAGCGAATGTCTCCTGATGTAGTAAGGCCACGCGCACACTATGTAGCACATGGGCGAGAAAACACAGGAACATGGACGATAGAAAATGTGGTTATCGCGTACAGGCAGGAAGTGTTTGCGCGTGAAGTTTGGGTGGCAAGGTTTGGTCAAATAACATATGGACTGGTGCGAGTAACGCGGACGCCTCCCGTGGGTACAGGGCAACCAGCCCCAGAAGCCGTACACACCTATTAATCAGCGAAGAGGAACATCAAATGCGAGATAAAATGGCGAAATGACAAATCGGGGGTTGAAATCGGCAAAAAAAACGAAGAAAAAACAGAATCGGCCTTCGTCCCAGCGCACGAGCTTCTGCGCATCGGCTACGGGGCATCACGCGAGACCACGAGCATCGACCCCCGGCAATTCTCGGGAGGGAGCTCTTTTGGCGGCGCCACCCAATCCGGGGCCACAGACGCTGGACCCTCCGCGCTCTTCAGAGAGGACCCGGCCGACAGGCACCCCTTCAGCGCTACCGGGGGCTTCACCGCGGCCGGCTTCACCCGATGCGGCTGTTCTGAGGGATACAAATAGTGTGGCTGACAGCATGGACGTCGATCCGCCCCAGCCCGGCGCGGTTGCGCCGTCGTTAGTAGCCTCCCCCCAAGGTTCTATCGCGCGCGCGGTCGTCAGGACTTCTACCCGTAGCACCCGAGAGGCCGCGGGGGCGGCCTTTCCACGTCCCCTCCCACCTGTCTTGGCGGCACGAGGGGCTTCGGCCGCGGGAGACGTAGGTACTGTTGGGAGCCTAGGTCCTTTATTAGGTAGCCATATATCATCAAGGACACGGTTGCGCGTGCGGCGCGCAACGACAAACACGGATTCCGCGACTACGCCGGTCGGTCCGGCTCTCGCGTCTTCTGAGACGCCCACGATGACTCCAGCCCGCCGGCCGCCGGGATTCTCGGAGATTGCCTTGTCCGCGGCTGCCCCATCGGGAGGAGCGGCGCTAGAGCTCCTGTCGACCCCGCCGCGCACGGACGTATCAGCTTTGTCGGGAGAGTTAACAGCTCGCGTGGACGTGGGATCACCGATGCGGGAGTCTCCCACCGAACCGTCGGAGGTTCCCACTTCCGGTTCCAGCGGAGAAGCTCCGCCAAATACCCGGGAGGGACGGAGCCCGGCAGACCAACCCACCCTCCCATCTGCTCGGCTGGCAGCGACGAGGCGCTCGGACGAGGGCGTCGACGGGACTCGGGACCAGGGGGTTGCCAACGAGGGCCGCATCTCGACGAGAACTCGGTCGCGCACCAGCGCCGTGGTCGGGCGTCAGGTATCTGCCGCCCCCCCTGTCCAAACATCAGCAAGCGCACAAGGCGTCACCGACCGCGCACCAAGACTGGGCCTCGACCCTTTCCCGACCGCTAATGCAGCGCCAGAAGAACCACCGTGCGCACGAAGTCGACCCCTAGAAGGAAGTAGGCCGCGAGGAGGCCACGCCGAGGAATGGGATTTGCCGGGGGCAGACCCGGGGGAGACACCCCCCGAGGCAGACACCGGGGAGACACCTCCCGAGGCACGCCGGGGAGACTCTGCTCCCCCCTCGGGCCGAAGAACGGACGTAGCAAGTGCTGCAGTTGGGGAAGTCGCAGACCTGCTCCCCACGTGGCCCGCCGTCCCGATTACCCTCATCACACCAAGTCAACCGCAGTCAGGGCCCTCTCTTCCTTCGGAGGGGGGCAGTTCCCCCGAAACTCGTCACGACGACCGAGTTGCCCCGCAGTCCCTGGCCCAGACAGATACCAGCGATCTAGCCCAGCCAACGGGTCGCCCGACTGCACCTCCCCCCGAGCAGTCGACGCCATCGCAGCAATTACAGTCAGAGGAGCGTCCCCCCCGGCGGGAACAGTGTTCGTTGCATTCGCCGGAGCCACGGGCAGTCGCCCAGGCTCGGGACACGTCTCCAACTACAGCGCCGGCCTCGCCGGAACACACGACTTCTTCGGCCACCGCGGAAACGGCAGCAGCGCCTACTGAACCACTGGTGTGTGGCATCTGTTCAGGGGATGTCAGCAACCCGTATGTGAAGCTCGTTAGCTGCGGTCATGCGATGTGTGTGGGCTGCTATGCGAGGGCATGCGTGCGGGAAGTGGGCGATACCCTCCACTGCCCCATGTGCCGTATAGGGTCCACCATCTCAGAGACGAGTACCAGCTTGGAACAGCAGCACGGGAACGACGTAGTTTCTGAGGCTTTTCGAGCGGCGAGGTCGGAGAGGGACGTGGCTCGCTCGACCGCACGGGAGGCGAGTCAAGCGCACGCGCCTTGCCATCTCTGCGGAGTTTGTCACGAATCAATAGGTCAGGGGGCTGCCATGTCTCCGCCCTGTGGATGTCACTACCACACTTGATGCGCGGTGGGACTCGTAGAAGATCAACTGCACGACGCCCTGGCGAGCGGACACGACATTATTTCGTGCCCGCACCAGCGTACAAGACAGGATCACGGCTTCCAAGCAACGGTCGTTCTACCGGAGCACGCCCGATTCAACTTTTACGAAAACGAAGCGGATCAGCGGGCGTTAGACGCGCGGATCGAAACAATCAGGGGCCAGCTGCGAGACTTCGGGCCGCGCATGCCGGTTCGCGTCGGAACGAGGAGACAACCCACAGAATCGCCGGCCCCGTCCACATACGTCTACACACTTTCTCCTCCTCCTTCGCCCGGCCCGTCACCACCTGCTCCGACTACAACGCCTTCTCCGCGAGGGGCGACGGACGGGGTCTGCGTCGTATGCCATCAGAACGAGGCTTGGCAACGCCCGCTTGTCACCGCGCCGTGCTCATGCAGGGTACATCTTACGTGCGCGATGACCTTCGTGGAGAACCACCTGCTCTCTACCGCGCCGTCGGACAGCTCTAGGATGGTGGCGAGCCCGAATCCAGCCATGCACGATTCGAGGCGCGACGTCTTTTGGCCCCGCCTCCTAGAGATAGTACCCGTCACGATCCCGGCATGGAGTCTCGCTGATGGAGAGCGGGAAACCTTGCAGGATAGGGTTGTAGCAGCTCGTGAGATATTGCACGAGCTTGATCGAGCAGGTAAAACGCGACGTTCCGTCCCCGACACACGGCCCCAACTCACCGGCGCGAACNCCCGTCACGATCCCGGCATGGAGTCTCGCTGATGGAGAGCGGGAAACCTTGCAGNGTGTTCGTGCTGTGGAGGCCACTTTAGGCCACCACCACAGGCCGAGGGACTCGAGCCTATCCAGATCCCGTGTGGACACCACGCGTCGGTGCACTCCAACTGCCTGTGGGACAGAGCCGACCAGATAGCACACGGACGCGTGGGTCCACGACCATGTGCCAACTGCTCGCAGGAAGAATCGAACGGACGACGACCTCCTCATCCCGCGGAACTTGTCCAGAACCACGAACTGCCGCACGCCGGGGGACGGTGGGACTTCCTGAGGGAGGCAGTGTCTTTCGCATCCGAGATAGAGGAACATTTCGAGACATGGTCTATGTCCGAATCCGGCGCGGACCCGGCGGGGCATTTCGACTCCTTCGAGAGTGTGGTGCGGGCCCACGGGAGAAGTGAGACGGCTTCCTGGCTCCTGGTCACTCTGTTCTGCGACGTATTCGGGATGGACAGAAGCGTTTACATATACTTCCCTCGGGGCCGCAACGAGGACAACGGGTGGGACCGGTTGGTCCAGAGATACCGCTCTACATTTTACGCCCATGGAATACGGCCGTATCAGGTGCTATTGCGGCTCCCCCGGGGCAGAATCTACATTGCGCCACACGTACAGGAATACCTGGTGCACCTGGANCTATAAGGGATGGACAGAAGCGTGTACATATACTTCCCTCGGGGCCGCAACGAAGACAACTCGTGGGACCGGTTGGTCCAGAGATACCGCTCTACATTTTACGCCCATGGAATACGGTCGTATCAGGTGCTATTCCGGCTCCCCTGGGGCAGAATCTACATTGCGCCACACGTACAGGAATACCTGGTGCACCTGGACCAGGAGTGCGAATCGCATCTCACATTCTACACCGTAGCAGTACAAAACGCCCTACGCAACCCCGGCCAACCTCTGCCGCCGTTCCCGCGGGTAGGGGGGGGTGGCTCGGCGCCACGACGACTGGGATGAACACCATGTCCCACCCCACCAAGGAGGCGAAACTAGCAGAAACACAGTGACCCCGACTGTCGTGGCCCCACGAAGGGTGACGGGAGTTGGCATCGACCCGGGCTTTGACATGGGAAGCGGCCCAGAGGAGGAAGAAGGATTGTTGTCCCCGAGGAACTCATCCACAACAGCACACGCCACCAGTCGGACGAGCCCTCAAGTAAGACCCGGGGAAGTAAGCCAATCACTAGGAACGCCAAGGCGGCGCAGACCATCTGCTCGCGCGGGTAGTGGATTATCGGATGACGCTACTACATCGGGTGAACGTCAACGAACTTCCTCGGAACCACCTCAAGGCGGAAACAGGCGACGCCGGCAGGGAAGTGAACCGGATCCAGACGGTGAGTCGCGAGAAAGAGGAACGCCATCACATCCGGCACGAACACACCGGGGAAGGGAATCGGGACGAACGGGTACTCCGGGTGCCGATGACCGAGCGACCAGGAACGGGGACGCTGGAGGAAGCATGGAACCTGGCGCCACGGGGAACAGAAGCGAGCNAAACCGGATCCAGACGGTCAGTCGCGAGAAAGAGGAACGCCATCACATCCGGCACGACCACACCGGGAAAGGGGCTCGGGAGGAACGGGTACTCCGAGTGCCGATGACCGAGCGACCAGGCACGGGGACGCTGGAGGAAGCACGGAACCTGGCGCCACGGGGAGCAGAAGCGAGCACCCTCGTTCCAGTACCAGATGCGGAGTGTGCTCGGGTCAGGTCATTGAGGGACACCGTGTGGTGCAACCCACTTGCGGGCATCCCATCCACGCAAGATGCGTACTATCTAGCTTGGAGGGACGCGGAGAACGCGCTCTGCTTGAGTGTAGGGTGCACGGGTGCGAGGCCCAACACTCTCGGAGGGACAGCCTGGAGGCGGCGGTTCAAGCTGACCCGGGGCTGCAGCTACGAGCTGAAAGACTGATAAGGGGGTTAAACGACGAACCCCACGGAGCACGTCCGCTGTACATCTGGAACCAAGACAGTCCGGGAATAGGGCCTGCTTTGGACGATGTCAGCATGGATGATCTCTCACTCAGGTTCCAGACGGTGAAGAAAGTTCAACCTAGGTTTGCTTCCGACCATGCCCGTCTCCAAACTCACGTGCTCCACCTTGTTAACAAGCAGCTAGCAGAAGGCGGCGGAGCTTCCTCGGCGACCGGGACCCCACTTTCCACTATCCGGGTCATCAAACTTTGGTACCTCCTACCAGGTATTCTGCACTCCTTTGATGGTCGGATAGCTCGAAAAAAACGCTACAACTGGTTCAAAAGAGGAGATATATCGTCCGCTCTTCCTTGGCTGATTGAGTATACCAAGGCGGCGAGTGCAAGGAGCAGGGGACCGGCACGGGAAGACACACCCGACGACAAGTTCAAAAGGGCGGCGAGGGCGTGCCGGCACTCTGGAGGCGTGAAGGACGCAGCAAGAGCGCTCCTAGCCGATCAACCGTCACCGGGGAACGACGAGACATGGGCACGTCTGAAAGCCAAATTTACGCGTGAGGATCCCGTACAAGTGGAGCAGGCCAACGCCGAAGCCATAGCTGCAAGCCGCACCGAGGAGGAGGAAGGAAGCGCCCCGAGATGGAGGCCAGAAACCGAGTTCGATCCACGAGTACTCCTTCAAGTCATCAACAGCAGAAGCTCTAACTTTGGAGCAGGAAATGACGGGCGACGTTTCTCCCACCTTAAGTCCATCGTCAACACTAAAATTGGTCGGGAAGAGTTCAGCAACGCGATGTCGTCCCTTTGGAGGAGGCTCATCAACGATCCCAACGCGTTCCCACCGGAGTTCTGGACTCTTTGGAAACTGTCCAGTCTAATCGCCCTAGGTGAAAAGTGCCGTCCAGTGTGCATCGGAATGACTTGGAGAAGGCTGATTGCAGCGGGAACGGTCAGGGAGTGGAAACCGAAACTGGAAGAAATATTTCGGGAAGCGGACCAATTCGGAGTGGCGGTAGCTGGAGGAGTTGAACAAGTTGCGATGGACGCACAACTGGTTCATCAGACAGGTCATTGGGTAGTCCAGACGGATTGCTCAAATGCCTTCAACACGGGCAAGCGCACCGCCATAATGGCCCAGGCCGCAAAGAGCGTCCCAGATCTCGTGGGGTACATCGCCAGGTGTTACGACGAAATCCCGGCAAAGGCGATATACGCGATGGACTCCGGAGAGCATCGGACGATCGAGTGCAAGAGCGGTGTGCAGCAAGGAGATGGAATGGGACCGCCCCTGTTCTGCTTCATCCTAGTCCCGATCGTCTTGAAGCTTAGAGCCAAGTACGACCACCTCGGGGTANCAGGTGTTACGACGAAATCCCGGCAAAGGCGATATACACGATGGACTCCGGAGAGCGTCGGACGATCGAGTGCAAGAGCGGTGTGCAGCAAGGAGATGGAATGGGACCGCCCCTGTTCTGCTTCATCCTAGTCCCGATCGTCTTGAAGCTTAGAGCCAATTACGACCACCTCGGGGTAAGCTTGAAAGCTTACATGGACGACATCAGCCTGCACTCCAAAAATATCACAGCGGAAAATATTCCGGTGATACCGGACCTCGTCGACGAACTAGAAGCAGTGGGCATCATCGTCANCCTACGTCGAGGATATCTCAATGAAAGTGATAACTGAAGGGGGTGCAGACAAGCTTGCTCGCATGCTGGTGCGCATGCCAGACAAACAGGTGGCTCACCTCGTCACATCACAATCGCTGACACAGCGATCCGGATATATCGAGAGAGGCATCAATCATAAGCTAGTGAAAGGGGCTTGTAAACGCCTGGACAATATGGTGATGTGGGTCCTAGAGGCAACGATGGGGCTCAGAGACACCGAAGTCGAAGAAGAGTTCTTCCAAGACGACTGCCAGCCTGACCGCTTCAAGTCAAAGCCCTATCAACAAGCCCAGGCGCGCCTGTCGACAGGAGCCGGAGGACTAGGATTACCAGCAGCCGTTATGCGAAGGTTCTCAGCTTCTCTGGGCAACCTAGTCGGCACCCTTCCTGCGGTTATAGCCGCGTTACGGGGTCCATTGGGAGAGTCGGTGAGAGTTCGGATACCGGGAACCGTGTTGGTGGAGCGGATGGGGGACGCTATCAAAGAACTCAACCAGGAGCATGCAATATCGGTGGAGATTCTGAAGGGGATCNCGGGCAACCTAGTCAGCACCCTTCCTGCGGTTATAGCCGCGTTACGGGGTCCATTGGGAGAGTGAGTCGGTGAGAGTTCGGATACCGGGAACCGTGTTGGTGGAGCGGATGGGGGACGCTATCAAAGAACTCAACCAGGAGCATGCAATATCGGTGGAGATTCTGAAGGGGATCCTTCCCCCGTCATGGGTTGAGTGGGCCTTAGAACCGACAGGAGAAACCGGAAGGCGTCAGCCCACCGTTGCAGAACTGGCAGCACACGATGGGGAATCTACTACGCCGAGGAAAGCCCAGCACAAACTGGGCAAGGCGATTAACAAGATACAACNCGGCAGGAGAAACCGGAAGGCGTCAGTCCACCGTTGCAGGACTGGCAGCACACGATGGGGAATCTACTACGCCGAGGAAAGCCCAGCACAAACTGGGCAAGGCGATTAACAAGATACAACTTGAAAAGTTCATGGAGTCTCTGGAGGACCTCCCTCAGGAGGCGGTACCACCCGCGCGGGACAACCCCTACGGAGGTCAAGAGGCCAGGAACATGGCATACGCACGAACG